ATTGCGAATTGAAGTAAAATAATTTCAAGATGGCGGTGCTTTCGTAAATACCGGAAGTTGACCCCTTCTTAGTTTTTTTTTTAACAGAAAGATCCAATTTTTCATTTTTTTCTAAATGCTCCATTTTATTCTGAATTCAACGAATTTACTATTTGCGCACCTATCTGTCATAGTTTTTGACATATACTAATTTTTCTCATTGGAGATGCAAGGATCTTTTTTATAATCAAATCCTTAAGGTCTAAGGAATGATTGGAGGGACTGCTGAAAGTCTTGAGAAAGTTTTCAAGGCTGCTGAGATTTTTCAAAATTACCAATAAAATTAGCAAAAAAATGCTGCCAGAAATGAATGTAGATTTGAATTTTAGGGGAAAAAAAATATTTCTATAAAAAATGGTAATAAGTAACTCAAAAAGTAGGTACCGGATATACGCATACAGAATTTTAATAAAAGTTGCCCCAAAATTCAAATCTACATTCATTTCTGGCATCAGAAATAATAGTTTCAATTTGAAAAAGTTTTGACATTTTTTTATTGTAAATTTTGAAAAAATCGCAGCAGCTCTGGAAACCTTTTCAAGACTTTCAGCGGTCATTCCAAACATTCCTTATAGTTCAAGGATTTAATTATAAATAAAAAGAGCACTCACTTATCTTGAACGATTTAAGAGCTATGAACTTTGAATAGACCCTTGCATTTCTAAATTCTTAGTTTAGAAAAATGGACATGTCAAAAACTATGACCGATAGGTATACAAATCTTAAATGTATTGAATTCAGAATAAAATGGCGCATTAAAAAAAAATAGAAAATGGAATGTTTTAATTAAAAAACCAAGATGGCGCCATCTTCAAATTATTTTATTTCAATTTGTAATGTCTATTATGACTGTGAACCAAATTTCAAGTTGAACTGCAAATTTAAAAACTTGTAACGAACGGGCTACGTGAAACACTCTGTATAATCTTCAGGGAGATTTCTAAAAACGAGATCTATAATTTTATTACCTAGGTATGTACATCAACAAAAAAGCGGTACGAGAAGTGAAATACTCTCCAAAGGAAAAGTGTTTCACCTCGAAATGTTTTTTGTTCGTTAGTTGGTTGAAAATTACATCATCTAGTTCTACAATATATTAGCAGCAACATTTGTGTGCTATTCTGTATCAAGTTCAACTCAATCTCGAAATCAATTATGCACGGTGTCGATAGTTGAACCAAAGCAAGCATCCAAAATGATTCGTTTACGTATCACACCCCCAAATCTTGTGTTCCTTCTTTAATCTTCTTTCAGCAATACATATGCGTTGTGATATTTTCGATTTTGTAAGTATTTTTCAAAACTCCTCCCAAGTGTGTCTAGGGGCATTGAATATTATGGTGCCATATTTGAGTATGGCAATAACTTGGAATAGTGAATAAGGGTTGCCATTAAATGGTTTTTTTTCTCCCGAATTGCCTGTTAATAAATTACTAGTAACAACTGACCTCAATATTGGTATTTTTTAAAAGTCCGCCCATATAATAGCAGATACCTCGGCAGATACAGTACCTCAAAATAAGCATAAATTGTTAGATAAACAGACGTCCGATCTTACCTTCGTTTTCGAGTTATGAATAATAGGGTACATGACAGTGGAAAAATAATAAATAAATGTTTGTTTCATAAGATAGGGTAAGGTGTCAGGGTATCGCAAAATAACTTTCTTTGGTAATGTACACGAGAAACTATTATATATTAGTAAAGCTAAAATTAAAAACTAACCACATTTGTCACGTGATATCAAACGCCAATCAGAGCGCGTGGCGTCATTATCCTAATCCTCTGTTCGTTTGTAGAGTTTGTCTACGTTTTTTAATTTAGTGCTTGTTCCATTTTATAGTGATTATATTATCCTAATGTTTAGTTTTTAAAACCAGATAAAAATGGAAAGTGGGTATACGACTGCTGATAGCAGCAAATCTGCCAAACAGTGATGAAATGATGTTGGGAATATTTCTTGCATCAAACACAGATTTTTGTTCATCAGAAAACTGCCTTGTAGGTTTTTAAGTTAAGCTTAGATTTTTTACAAGACATGTAGTTACTTAAGAGGAATGTGTACTTAAGGTGCTTTGCTTGTAGGTCATCGAAGCTATCATATGGAGATGATCAGTAAGCTATGTCCACTTTAAGAGTTTTCTGTTACGAACATTTTGTAGATAAAGGTCTAATTTATAAAGTATAGTTCTTAAAACAATTTTTTTTGGAAAAACAGTTTTTATGGTGGGCACTCTTATGGAACCACACATTGAGTGCAGTCGAACAGAAGACTCTGTTAAACCAAATTTTGGCCGCAACATACAGTTCACGCAAAGCTGTATGCAGTTTCCATAGTTGTCGACGAAGAAACCAATTATTTTCTTTGCCCTACCATCAAGCTGCTTTTATAACCCCTCAGAGTCCAAAGGAGTACCTACTAGTGTCGATAAAGTCTCTTTTATCACGTTTAACAAGTCATGATCTACTCCAATTATTCGAAACTCTATCACCAAATGGCTCAATCGTATTCGGAAGTTGTCCAAATTGTCGTCTACCGCAGGCCTCAGGAGTTAACGTACGTGAAAAATGTGCTACTCATGTCAATATAGTTTTCTATGTTACGTTTAATGAGCAATCGTCGAAAACCCTTTTGGATTTCTCTACTCCATAAAGCATTTGAATGATACAGCATCCTTGGAACCAGATTTACCCTCCCCTGAGATACTTAGCTGTGCCACAGAAAAATGTGACTACTGAGTCCTACACCACGACAAAGTGTACTCCATGGTAGGGCACCACTTACGGTATAGACCGGGAGATGGTGACACTTTNCATGTTTTTTCACATGCAAATTGTATGTCGCCTGCCGTTACCGTGATAACGAAACTCTTTGGAAACATACCGGGGTGTGACTTTCGCGACGTCAACATAGGATTAATTGCTAAATCCGTAATAGTGAAACATTTTCCCCACGCAATTTTTGTAGAGGTTTGTGTAGCGAAAAAAAATTATGAATGCATACAAATCATCGTCTTCCAATTGTCTTAATTCTGGAACTGGAAATGGGAAAAAATATTACTTTTTGAAACATCGCTATTGCCTCGCACCTACATAATTATAAAATGAAACGAGCGCGCTGGAATTGTCATTTTCTCTATGTTATAATAGTGTACCTCGTAGTGTACGTTACAAATCATGATAGTTTTCGAAACCAACATTTGAGAGAGTTTTCCGAAGAGTTTTCGTAGTAATCATGAAAATACAATGATGTGCGCTACAATGCCATGCCATCGCTAATGTTTGTACAAAGCGCAATTCTTTTTTCCATGTTTTACCACCCGCACGTTAGTGACGGAGTTTATGCATTGAGGTAAAAAATGACTCCCCACTTTTTTTACGGAAATACACGTTTTTAAGAACCAAGAATCCGAATCAAACAAAATCTCGATTATGTCAGTCTGTCGGTCCGTTTGTACTCTCATTTCCGGCTAAACCGATTGCAACCAAATTTGGTAAAAATATTCTTGGACATAAAGGGGCAAAATCGCGCATGCGCGGAGTGCTGGTGGTACCGGTCTGTGCTAACCACAGCTAATTTTTTCAGTTTCAGAAAATTTAAAAATGATTTCTATGGATTCGTAATTTTTTCTCTACACAAAACCTAAATAGGGGTGCGCATGTTTGAACATTACGGATATAAAACCCTCTGTGCGAGTGTGGATCTTATAGCCATTTCTGAATGCACAGGTTTTTGGTAATCACTTAGACACTTAGGTCGAATTATATCAGTTAATCGAACATAATTCACAAATTATCCAATTAAACGATTTTTTCAATTCAACTAACCTTAAAACATGGTACAAGCAACGTGACATGACATCACATTGATGATGCGTTGTGTTGCCAAACAATGCGTGTTAGGGTTTACATTCGTTAACCCGCCAGTTGGTCGCTAAAGGAGAAAATTGTAATGTTCAAAAGCAAGTAATATGAAATAGGTGTTGATACCCAAAGAATGCTATTATAATACATGAAACCGGGATTGATTGCCGCATCCATTATACAGAATATCACTAATAGAGACAGACAAAGGTTTAAAATGTACATTCACCTCATCTTCCTTTTATTTGTCTTTAATGTTTGAGATGAGGTTGGAGAACAATAGAGGATAATTTTGTATGCGCCACACAGAAAATGAATCATTTGCTGTAGAAGAACTAACCTGATGACGTCTTCGTTTATGTACGCAAATCACATGACCAAAAATGTGTTGAATTATAATATCGATTCCTTATTTATTACCACAATAAATTGGATGGCGGCGACTAGTTTCGTTTTTAATTTAAATTACAAGCCAGAGTTACGAAAATCTTAATTCTTTTTCAATCAGATTGTAGCAACCGCCGCATATGCACCTATGGCGAAGAATTTCCGTGAGTCACGCTTTACTTACGAAGAATGAGCTTATTAAAATTAAATCCCATAACATCCTTAGCATAATTGTGTTAGAAAAAAAGATTTTTGTTATGTAATTACGGAAGTTCTCGTCAATTAAGTAGGTAAAACCTATTTTGTATTACAAATTGTTCGTATTTCGACGGTTTAAAGCTTTTTTTATGATTTCGCTTAATTAACCAGGCTTTACTCACCTAAATTTAATTAGCCAACTACTTGAAAGTAACGAAATTGTTTCCTTAATTTTATTGGATGACTATTTTCTTGTTGTTACGGTTCTTTTTTTATTATTTCCAAACCCCCAATTATTGACTTATTTAAATTAACTGGCGTTACCTGAATTTAAAATTGCAGGAACTCGAGAGTGTATAATTTTGTTCCAATTTTTAGGTTGCGGTTAAAATATTAGCTCGTTTGCGGTACGACGTTCTTTTTCGGTTGAAAGAATTTGTCTTGTTAATAAGACGATATGTGAACCGGGCGAATTAATTTTTAATTGTGCTATCCGAAATAAAACACATCAATTAATAGTATTATCGCTTTAATCTTAATTCTCGACGTCTGTTGAATGGTAATTATCCTTAAAGATCATGACATGGTTGAATAGAAAACTTTTAGTTTGCACGAACAATAAATATGAAGAGCGTTTTTTTGAAAATATATACAGTTTTACTTACACATACGGTAATACTTAGCTATACAAGTCCTTATGTACAGAAAACAATTTTCACCTCCAGAAGAGCAGAAGTTATCCGGGTATCACTTATACGTACTATAAACACACTTTCTCACTTTTGATTATCCCGGATTATCACAATACATTCTCGTTTACATTCAAATTGCACTCGGTCATATTCTACGTATCACAATAGGCTGACAATTTAGGATATAAGTTACAACTAGTCTATATATGAATGGCTACCGTGCGTGGAGTATTTCCAGGTGGATTAGGCGCTTGTCCCCTGGTGTTGTGCCGATGGACGTGGTGATGGACGTGAGGAGTTCGCGTTGAACCACGACGACGTTGGTTGTTGGGAACATCCGGCAAAGCGAATTTGAGCTTTTCCCAAAAGAGTTTATCACCCCACTGCAAATACACATTCGTTTTTAGGTACAAACGTATATCGGGATCTAAATCTTTCTGAGGCACTTCACCCAATAAAATTACAATAAGTCGACGTCTTCGATCTCTTAAAACTTGATGGTGCGCGGATTTAAATTCAAACCTACACCACTCCGATTTAATGAAATTCTCCGATAAGATCATAATAGTGCGACGGGATGATTCTACGGCTTGTACGATGGTATCTGCGAGATATGCCCCTACGGGGAAATCACGATAGTGGAGGCATAATTTATAATTAGGTTCTAACGTCGGAGCAAGGATTTCGGCAACCCATGCCTCATCTTTTGAACTGTAACTGACGAAAGCGTCGAAGAGTTTATCGCGATCGTCCATTTCGAATTCCGTCGGACGATGGAAAAGTCTCACGCCGAATTTCGAATGAATCCACACGCGGAGCTCTTGTCGAAATATGAACACAAGGAGCGTTAGCACGACGATAACGGCGAAAGTCACTAACGTTATTACCAAAAGCGGGAGGTAATCTTGGATTTCCTGCCGCCTGATGATGGTCTTCGTAGCGGTTAAATTTCCGTTGATGCTGTTGTCGATGTTGGCCGCGCCAGTACATGCGGTGTTATTTTCAGAGTTTATGTAGAAACCGACGTCGGGGTTGTCAGCGTAAATTTCTTCCGTGTAGTAATCAAGTTCGGTAACGTTATAAACACACCGCACGGAATTTATATCTAACACCGCATCACCGCGAACCATCCATTCGCGAAGCTGTTCAGTAAATTCGCAATTACAAGACCACGGGTTGTAAGCTAAAGTCACTTCGTTAAGTGCCACAGGAAATTGCCACACAGTATATTTGTTTAGCCTGTTGTGATCGAGTTTGAGCACACGCAGATGTCGAAGGGACGAAAATGTCGAGTTGTGAATGTGCGATATGCGATTGTGTTGCAAAAAAATTTCGGTTAGACCGGTCAGACCGTCGAATTCGTAACCGTGAAGTTCATGTATTCGATTTCCGTCCAAATGTAGCACCTCTAATTCCTTTAAGCCGTTAAACGTGCGATTTTGTATTGATTCTATGTTGGAATTGTTTACAAATAATATTTTAAGGCGTTTACGTCCAATAAAGGCGTGACTATTCAAGGAGCGTAAATCATTCCCATCCAAATACAACTGGGTGGCATCCATTGGTATTTGATACGGTAAATTTTCAACATATCCGCTGGAGGAACAATCCACAACGTTAGCGGACCAAGACTGATCGTGATAACACGTACAATTTTCTGGGCAAGTCATTTCACAGTCGCATGCATCAAAGTCACAGCAGTGGCACAATGCGATACAATGGGTTTCGTATGTGCACAGAAATTGGTAAGGAGCCGCTTCGACAAGTGGAACGTATGTCCGACCACGATTGTATAAAAGTTGACAATAGATGCTTTCCAAATCAACTAGTTTGGGGTGGGTTCGAGCACGATTTCCGGCGTTTACTTTTTGAAGCCAATCCATTGTGCAGTCGCAATGGTACGGATTGCCCCCGATGTAAAATTCCGGAAGCGATTTATCCGTAGGTACAGTCGATATACGCAAAGAGTTCGGATCTAAATGCGTAATTTTATTTCCGAATAAATCGACGCGCGTTAAATTCGGTTTTTTGAAAAACGTGTACGACTGAACTTTTGTAATCAAATTGTCGTTGAGAAATAAAACTTCAACGCTGTTGGGAATTGAACTCCCTGTAATTTCCGTTAATTTATTCGCGCTCGCGTCAAACGTGCTTAATGAGAGAGTAGATTCAATTTCGAAATAATTACCCAACTCTGATATGTGATTGGAATGAATATCGAGCCACTGTAAACCGGTGGGAATTAACGCGTAATCGAACCATTTTAATTGATTATCCGATATGTTTAACCAAACTAAGCTCGGCAATTTTCCAAACAATTCCTCAATATCCGACAAATAATTTCCATCTAATCGAATCGCTTGTAAATTCGTATTTGAATCGAAAGCGCCCGCTGTTACCTTTTGAATTTTATTTCTGGATAAATTTAAAATTTTCAAAGCCGACATTGCGTCAAAAACGCCTTTGGAAATGTTACCGATGTTATTTTCGGTCAGTCTTAATCCGTAAATGTGTTTCATATCCCGAAAAGTATCATTCGTTAATGTGTCTATGTGATTTTCGCCTAGATCCAAAGTTCTTAACATGGGAACGTTCGAAATCACTTCCGGAACGTACATCAATTTATTTCCGTTCAAATGTAAATCTTGCAAACTAGAGCAGTTTCGCAAGGCTTCCGGATGCACTCTACTAATTTTATTATTGTCCACGGATAATAGCGAAAGCACATAAAGACCGTTAAACGTATCGCTATCTATGCTAGTCAGTCTGTTATTAGAAATAATTAGGGTGTGCAAATTATACAACGCCGAAAACGTATTTTCCGGTATTAATTCTATAAAATTATCATTCAGTCTCAAAATTTGTAAACTGTACAAGTCCCTAAACACTGACGGCTCTAATTTCGTTAATCGATTATGCGAAAGGTCCAGCACGACTAGCCGAATTAATCCCGCAAACGTCGCGGCGTTAATCCAATCCGTCGTTAATTCGTTATGAGATAAGTCTAACACTAAAAGTTGCGTAAGTTCACTAAACAGCCCCGGCGCGAGCACGTTAATCGAGTTATTCTGCAAGTACATCTCTTTAACGTCCCGAGTATCCGAAAATAACTCCGGCGGTAAGCTTATTAGTCGATTATCTGATAGTTTTAAAATGTTTAACGAAGAAAGTCCTTCGAGTGCTCGGTCGGCTAAATATGAAAGACCGTTTCCCTGGAGGTACAATTTTTGCAATCGAGTTAATCCTGACAGCTGTCCAGATGGCAACCGGTCGATGTTGTTGCGGGACAAGTCCAATAAGCGAAGGCTCGTTCCGCACCTTTCCGAAGGGTTATGGGCAAACCTGAACGAGGTGATCTCCCGAAATCGATTTCGCGTTAAATTTAAAATTTCTAACGAGTATAACGAGCACAAAGCACCTTCCGGCAAGTTCCACATATTATTTTCACCGAGATCCAGCCGCTCCAGTAGTCGAAGCTCGTCGGTGAAGACACCTGGTGATACTTCGAGTGACATTGCCGACCAATCTGTATTATGCGTGCGAACCGTTAGATTACGCAACTCCTTGAGACCACGAAAGACCCCATCAGATAAATTTCCTATCTTACAATATTCAATTGACAACTCCCGCAGTTCCAGAAGAGGACGAAAACTGCCAGCGTTTAGCGAACTTTGAAAAAATAGCGCATCACTACACTCGAGCCGTAATCTCACGGTATGCTGCGGTTGTATTACACTAAAATTTGTATTTTCCAACTCGCTGTTGATGGTACGTAATCTGCATACTAACGCCACGTCTTCGTCGGCGCCTCCGTTTTCTACCACCCATTTGCACTCGTCCGGCGCCTGATAACGGAGCGCCTTACTTAAGGACGCCGATAAGACGCCAAAAACTACCCCGAATAATACCGCGCACACCACCGTGGTGCCCATCGCGAACGGCACGCAACGCTACACCATTGTATTTTACGCGTGTAATTTCTTGCATAACGCAACCGACTCTCATGCAGTTCGCCGTTTGACTGCGGCCGCTTGGACAAGGCCACGAACTCTACATCTACCACTCCTCGCCGCGTCCTGCAAGATCCAACTTAAGAATATACCAAGTCGGCGGCAGGTTACAAAAAAAACTGTTAACTCGGACCGCGTTTTTACTTAAATGCCGGGTTTTCTATCTCATCGCCCGTTGAAATCACTGGAAGGTATCGCGCTTCGCTGCCAACACTATACGTGCCTGTCTTCTCCTTAAACAAAGAACTAATCGGTCCGCATGGGATTTTTGTGAATGCACTCGATCGCACCGAATTAATGCCTTTTTAAGTTTATAAAGAACTCACGCGAACGCACTAATGTCAATGGATGCATAATTGAGCGTGCAACAAGTATACGCAGCCGTGAATTTTCACAATGGAAAACGTTTTTAAAACCTATCGATTCCAATACATTAAACTAGTTGTGCAACCTCCGCGCGTACACTTATAGCAATGAAAGAGATTTGAATGCTAGGTTAAGCAATCGATTTACTAACAATAAAGTAATTAAAATGTTTATTATTGCTGATAGCAATACGTCTTGACGTAGGATAATTACAGTCGTCGCCCCAACCGAAGCCCGTTACTACGAAGTTAATTGGTTCTCTGCACAAAAACGTCTCGCCGCACACATAACTTTTACCACCAGAGCTAAACAATTTACAACCTGATGCAAAATCGTTAATGCCGATTATTCGGTCAGTTATTGAGTAAATGAGATGGGATTGGAAGTTGTATTTGAAACTAATTGAGTTTATTATGTGGGTAATATTAATTTTGTAGGTATTGAATTTGTATTACATTGGCTTAGGTACGCCCATGCACAAACAGAACTAAAATAACCAGAAACACCTGTAAACGGTTGTTCCACCTGCTATAATTTGAACTATTTCTATTGTTTTCTGATTATAGTGACCTGGAGAGAGCAACTATGGGGGTCTAGCTCTAGGGAGTAGGTACACATGTCGTTATAAACTTGAGTTCACTTATTCTTGCTGCTCAAATGAAGGCTTACTGCATCTTTTTCCATGCATACACATAAACGACATTTCTCTGATAAAGAAAACTCTGACATCTATTAAATTTGGTAATTCCTTAACATGATCATACCGGAATGTGCAGTTTTCGAAAAATCAAAAAAGAATTCCAACTGCATTTCTTGGCCGGATAATCGAATTTCAGGAACAATATTGCCGTACAGTTTTTAGGGGAATTTTTCGAAAAAAAATTCCCTTTATGTGATGGTTTTGTTAGTCTGTTCCTCTTCCTCGCTTAACTCGAAAACGAAAAGAGATAGCGATGTCAAACTTTCGCCAATCGATTTCTACGAGTTCAAGGATCAGTGCTGTTGAAAATGAACCGAATTAAAAGTCTGGTTTCCGAATGCGATTTGAGTGATAAAAAAATTCCCCTACTGAAAATCGTACGCGATTCTTCGTATCTAGTTCAATACGATTTTTGAAATGAGAACATTGATACTTCGAGTAAGTAATGCAAACTCGTAAGTGAGCTGTGCAAACTAGAAGCCTAGGTAATATGCAATGTGATAAAATGAATCAGCCTATCGCAATTGTTAAAAAAAAGTTACTCCTTCTTATATTTTTTTAAAATAAACGGTTAGCGATTCTGATTTTTTGGATAATATACTGTTGGTGACGATACATATTTTGAGTAAAGAAAAGTTCATCCACAAATTTAATTTAAATTTTCGATAATGCCTCTACCTGCCTGCATGTTTTTGTAATTAAAGATGTTGCATGTGAAATTATGTTGGCACTATACCTATTTCTCAAGATGCACTTACAAGTGGGATGTTCCAATTGCGTCTCCAGCGTAGAATAACTCACCCCAACAAATAAAAAAACGTATACCTATCGCAAATCGGAATGTGAACCGGCTCCCAGTCCCAACATAACAATAACCATTCACATCATTTCTTTCAATGTCAATTTTTAATTTATTATTTATCGCATGCATGCCATAGAAAAACCAGGAGCCAAATTCTTGACATAACTACTTCCTACCTCAAACCAGATATTTAAAAAAACGGCTTTGGCAATCTCACACCCTTTATGCCTAATGTACTGTGTATCCTATTTTGGTCGAGACTGCAGTGTATCTCAGCCGATCTCAGCTGTTTTTAAAAGATAGATACTGTGCCTTGTGCCACTTTTTTTGGAAAAGTTTTAATACCACACACATACACCGCATCAATCTAGCTAGGTTTGCTTCTGAGATGCAGGGTGAAAACCAAAAGTATGACTTTTGGGACTTTATCATATCTTACTATCCATCTGAGATAGCAAAAAGGTAAAAAGTGACTATTTTAGATATTTTTACATAGAATCCAGTGGTTAGTAAATCTTCATCATTGTTTAATCTATGGTTCAGTCATGCGTGGTATTTTTGGAATCAGAGAGACGGGATGGGTTAAAAACTGGTTTTGTTCTTCTTGTTATTTTAACAAAAGCCAATGAGCTAATTTCTACCAATTACGCCCTTCCGTATCGAGGTCTGTTATAATTTCTCAGGAACGAAGTACTATAAGCTATATGTATCGATAGAGTCAAAACTTTAACTGCGAATATCTCAAGAACGAAGGGTAATCGCAAAAAAAATTGGAATGTCTGGACTTGTCATTATTGGGGGAGTTGTAAGCTTATACTTGCTCTCCGCTGTACGTGATATATGTGATACCAATTGGAGGATCCGGTATGAATACGTAAAACAGAGTTTCTAATTTCCACTTTGGTGCCAAAACAATGCGGGCTGCTGATGGTGTGTAACTTATTAATTCTCGCCGAAAGGAAACTTTTACAATACACTTCTTTTTTCGTACATGTGCACTGTTACTTTAATAATCCCTCACTATTATGGGCCCTTCGTTTTTAAAAACACAAAATTGTTCCAAGAAATTATACTTATTCGCAAATGCACACTGCGAAATATGTGATCGCTTCAGAGTCTGGCTGCGATTTTATAGTAATCAGTGATGTTTTGAGCGTTTAAGGCCATGTATATATGTATTTATAGTCAAATAAAACAGTGCAATAAGTAAATTTACATTTTAAGTTTAACGCAAAAAATAATTTTTGCTCTATAGTAGGATAATAAACAGAAATTAAATGTTGAATAAAATGTTAGGCCATTCGAAATATGACACATTACCAATTATTTATATTTCTCATTGAACTCTGATGCTGTTTTTTTTAAATCTCTACGCGATTTTTATTGATATATCAATTTTCTACAACGTATTGAAAATATCAATAGCACATTTTATTGAGTTGTACTTATTACGTACCGTCAACTATTACCCATGTTACTTACCCATAAAGAGAATATTCCTGAATAACTTACGCTGTTTGCCGTAACTCCCATGATGTTTAATTTTACACTGTTCTACCTATATAAATTTTTAATGATCTTTTTTTGTTTTTAGGTATGGAGGTTTACGTCTATATGGAATTGAATTAGTAAGTAATGAATTTATTTCGTTTGTCATATCATATGCATACAGTCTGTTTCAAATTAAGTTAGCACTATTGCTAACTTTCATAGTTGTAGAGTTAGAAAGATCAATATTGTGTATTTTTTGTACCGAATCCAAATCTGTAATTAAAAACCCATAATATCGCATTTTTCAGATAATAACAAACATGTGACTTTTTATGTGGAACATTCTATATATTATTACATTATATGACAGATTATTAAATTCTCTACAAAGGTTGTTAATGCACCATAGTCAAAATACTTCAAAAGACCAAGATTTTTCAGTAGTGCTTGTTTCGATGTAGTTATCCATAAAATCATAAAATGACGTCGTTCGTTCATATTAGTTCATTGCTCGTAAATTTATCCTCCCGTATTGATATATGCGTCCCTTAAATCGTGGATAATACAAACTCAGAGTCTATTTCAAGACGAACTTCTTGCTGTTACACATTGGTAAAAATAAAAGAATTTTGAAAATTATTGTAACGCAAAATAAACTCAAAGTTTGTGTTTTCCACGATTTAAGGGACGCATATATCAATGCGGGAGGATAAATTTAGGAGTAATGAACTAATGTGAACAAATGACGTCATTTTATCAATTTGATGGATAACTAGATCCAAATGAAGTATTTTGGCTATGGTCCATTAAGAACTTTTATAGAGAATTTAATAAGTTGTTATATGATAATCATAATATACAAGGCGTTCCATATAAAAAAGTCATATTTTTGTTATTATCTGAAAAATGCGATGTTGTTATGTTTTTTAATCACAGATTTGGATTCGGTAGAAAAAAATACACAATATTGGAAATTTAACCGTCTTTCTAACTCGAAGTACAACTAACAACGTTAGCAATAGTACCGACTGAGTATGAAACAGACTGTATAAAGGGTTTTGTATAAGTCTCTCAGTGTGTGGGAATCGCACTATGTATATGAATGTCGTCCCTTACATTACCAAACGTGGAGTAATTTTCTTTCAAATTATGTGAAACATACAAGGTACTCAAATTGAAAGTTCAATTTTTTAATATCTCAAATATCTCCTGAGAAAAAGGATGCACACTTGGTAATTTAACCGACTTCGTAGCTTTAAAAAATTTAACAAGGATGCCGATTTAAAAAAAATAGGAATCGTATAAACTAGACTTGGATTGTAAGATATACCAACTATACAGGGCGAATAAAAAGTAAGGAACATTGATGCTGGAACCGTTACTACTGGTCCTATCAAGACAAGTTGAATGATTAAATATTTACCACAATCTGACGGTTTTCAATTTTTTTTCTGACGTCATAGTTTCAGAATGTGATGTCATCGCAAAAAATGTTAAATAGCAATCTATATTTTTTCGGCAATGTTAGATAGTATCTTGTTTTCTCTTTAGGTCCATGTAAAAAATCACAAGGTTAATAAAATTAAGAAACATTTTGAGAAACATGGCATGCAATTCTTTGGAAACAATTACCATAAAACAAATTCTAATCACTATTAATCCCACTTATAACAGAATAATAATAACTATTATTTAAGTTTTTTGAGAAAGTGTCTTATCATTTCAAATTGGTTATTAATAATAACGGCTCCAGCATCAATGTTCTTTACTTTTTATTCACCCTGTATAAGTTACTCCCTGGCTGACTCCAGTTGTAATTACACTCATGATTCACGAATAATTCCGTCTTTGGTGAAAATTTTGCTAAAAATAGGTTTTAACTTGGTATAGTACCTATGTGTGGTAAAGAAGACACTAGAATTAAGCGGAATCTATACAAAATTTA